ACTTGGTCTTATTCACGTGAAAATCTTGATCCACTTCACCACAGTAATGATGTTCCCAATCCTCCTGCTGATTGGCCTGCGGGTGATCGTCCACCTAACCCATCCATACTACCCCAGGATCCTCTCGCCGATAACTTGTGCATTCCTGGGCGCACCCAAGTTCGCGTATTTTCGGCGGCTGACATCGATTCTTGGATTCTGGATGATCTGTGTCGGTGGTCGATCATTACGATGACAGTGGATCTTCTTGCGATTACGTTGCCGTTCCGACCCGAGTGGATCTATTCCCACCATACACCGAGATCTCGACCTCCCTCGGATGCAGATTATTGCGCTCACCTGACTACCGCCGACAACATCGAGGCTCTCCTCGACGAATCACCTTGCGAGATCCTGGGCGGTGGCAATGTGCCCGACCCGATCTGTTTCGAGATCCTAGTGCGTGGTCGACTTGGCGTCTTCCTGGACGAATATTCGCAGTTGGAGCTCCGCGATCTCATTGTGTACTGGGAATCCACACACAAGCTCGCGATCACCAAACGTATGTGTGCGGATAATCCACGTCTGACAGCTCTCTGCAAGGCGCGATACAATCGGCGCTCACACGCTGGCGATCGCAGGCGCAGGATCCTGCCCATTTTGTTTTGACCATGCAAGATGGTTGGTGTGACCTTGTTCTCCTACTGGATCCATTCTTCCTTCATTTCCCAAAGACATTCGATGAAGTAGCTTGGTACCCAGGGATTGAAGCGCGTCGCGCTGGTCGGCCGGATCCTGCCAATTTGATTGAGGCCCTCGCTGAATGTGACGAAGCGGACCCATGGCGCAACCATTACCGCACTTCTGCGGCGGATCACCCTGCGCGTCAGATCCTTCGGCTGGTGGAGAAGTTCTTCGGCATGGAGAGTGCCCGACGTTGCTCGCCCCCGAATCCCAGTACACCCACCGATCCTGAGACGCCCGCTGGATCTGACGCTGTATCTGATATGTGATCCTTCCGTTAATATATGTCTCCTTTCATTTTAATCCACCGATCCTTTTCGTACTTATTTCTACAGAGTCCGTAGTTCGCGATCCGCCTCCACATTATCTCGGATCTTGACCTTTGTAGATTTCGGCACACTGTGATATATCCAAACATGTACCTGCCTTCCTCCGATCCGCAGCCTCCCTGCGGATCCTTCACCCCAAACTTCTCACATTGGCGGCCAACTCACCTATGCGGATCTTACCCTTAGGCCTCTTCGTGAGATTGCATCATGCCAAACCGATTTTGATTGGCGCGATCCCGCAAGAACTCGTGGAGTATTGCTCCACAGTTGAGATCAGCCTCATCGATCCCGATTGGATCCTCGTACCCACGCCAGTGCACTAAGAATTGACGCAGGATCCGACCTTATCTTGTCTTCCTGCCAGTCCTCATATCCGAGATTCTTTCAACCTCATACTCGTCCGGATCGCGATCATGGACCCAGCTATCTCCAGGTAGAAGTGCTTCATCGAAATCCAGACGATCTTGATCCTGCATCGTGAGACGTATTACCGGCCGATTCGGGAATCTTCTGACAGGCTTGATCTTTGACACGTGGACCACAGGGAAGATATTGTATGGAGATCTGGCAATATCGAGCTTTACCGCATACTCGACGATCTTCTCGGCCACACGGGAAAGGGCCATGCCACAGGTGCGCAAGCTTCTTGGCATATCCCTCTCGCACCCGATCCAAGTATAACCTTACTCGGGATCCAGCCTCGACTTGATGTGGGCGCGCTATATCATTGTGCTGATCTGCCCGGTCTGAGATCGCCTCCCGTAAGCGTTGATTCACCTGCTCCCGTGCCTGTTGGTAATGCCTCTGGATCCGATATCGCCACCTCCGCGGATTCCGATCCTGTCTTCTTGTACTTCCCATCGGGATCGCCGCCTCCATGTGGGTCTCGGATCCCAGCCGCGGACCATGTAGAACGGCGTCTCTCCACGGATCTACTCCCGAGCGGTGTTGATTGCGAATGTAAGTCGCTCCACATACTCGTCCCAATCTCGCTGATCTACGTCTTGGACATACATTTTAAATGCCCTGGTAGTGGTCTGTACCATTCTTTCTGCGGATCCATTTGCCTGGGGTCTGTATGCGATTGTTGCACGTTGGCGCTGATCCATGATCTTCTTAAATGCGGGAAAGAAATCGGACATGAACCCGGGTTCGTGATCATGGCGGATCACCTCGCTGGCACCAAATCGGAGGGACACACATTCCTCGTAAGATTCTTCCACAGTTTGAGCCGTCCTGGATCCGCTAGCCTTGGCAATCACATATCCGGAAAAGAAATCTTCGAAGATCAACAGCTCAGTGCTACCTTTATAGGATCTGGGTAATGAGGGGATGTGATCCATAGCGATGATCTGGAATGGATAAGTCGCTTGAAGATTACCCGGCGATTCTCCCTGGATCCGGGGTCGTCCTTTTCCAGTCTCGCAGTCCCTACACTCCCCGACATATCTTTGCACACTTCTATACAGTCCTCTCCAGTGGAAATGATCCCGGATTTGATGGTATGTACGGCTGATCCCTTGATGTCCACCTTGGAGGCTGGTATGATAATGGTGTAGAACATCTTGATGCAACGTTTCAGGCAACACTAGTTGCATCAGTTTGTCCCGATCCGCAGCTGATTCTTTCGTAGTGGGGCGAAAGAAAGAAGATCCTGCTGATCCACTTCATTGTTCATGGCGATGGATCCGCAGGATCTGGCCTCTTCCTGCGTCAGATCGCGTATTTCACCAGCCAGGTACTTTCAAACTGTTGATCAACGCCTCCTCGTCCTGGGCCTGTCGGATCCGCTCGATCCCGAGCTCTCTGATCACCCCCTCGCGCAGTACTGGGGGGGGATCCCGATCTCACGCCGGATCTGGCCTTCGGTCTAGTAGTAACAGCCGAGATCTGCACTGCCGGATCATCAGATTTCACCACCAATATCCCTCCAATCGGTTCAAGGTGATCAGATCCTGGGTCTCTTTATCAGTTTCGACGTCGATCCCACATTGTCGTTGCAATGCATCACTAGCCAGGCTATCTGCACTTTCATTCCGATCCCGCTTCACATGTACCAACTCATGATCCGGCCGGATCCGCAATCTGTCCGACGCCTTTTGTCTTAACAACGTCAATCCAGGCGCCTTCCAGTTGATTTCGCCTCTAACCTGACAGATCACCAGATTTGAGTCGCCACAGATCACCAATCGTAGAGGATCCGTTCCTTCCAGCAAATCAAGACATACCAAGAGGCCGTAATATTTGGCCTCATTGACAGTTAGACCTTCGGCGTAGCCGGATCTGGCTTCACCACAGTCAACTCAGGTAATTTTCACTGTAGGCGCCTTCACCTCGTTTGACACGGGCGAATCCGTCGAAGCTAGCAACATACAGATCCCCATCCGATCTCACTGTCGGGATCGGGGCTTGGATCTTGCATCTCAACTTCTTCTTCGGGGCGATCGAGATTAGCGCTTTGTCGACTTCGGATCTGGGAGTGATACTGGCTGCTAATGTACCCAGGAACTCGTCCTCGCCCTTGTTACACTTGACGATCTCGAGGATCCAGGGTAAAGTAGCGCGGCCCACTGTCCCAGGCGTCCTTGTAGTGCATTGGATCTGAATAACCAGGCCAGTGTCAAATGCCGCGTCAAAACTCGGATTGGCCTCCCAACTAAAATATTATAGTTGAGATCCAGGATCCGTAACAATGTCAACACCTCTTTTTCCGCGATTCCATAATTCAATTCGTTGGACTTCAACGTGTGGCTCGCGAACATCACTGGATGGTAGATCTGATCATACTCTTGCATCAATGCACCGGGGATCACCCACGCACTGGCATATACACCTACCACAGCTTGCCGATCCAGATCAAAGTGACGTAAGATCGGCGTTTTCGCGATCTTCTCCTCTAGCACCTTAAAGGATCTATGAGCATGGATCCACCGGGGATCCAGGTCTACAAAATCGTTCTTCTCGGGGTTCGTCACCTTCACGCAGTCAGGCATCGGATCTCGTGACGCTAGGTTCGGATCTTGATTGCTAAGTTCGGGATCCGGACCCCGTGGATCCGGATCCGAGGGTTGCGGACCCGTCGGATCTTTAGTCAGCATGCCTGGATCGGGGGATTCTGACGCTAGCGCTAGCTAGATCCGGCTTCGATTCATGCCCTTCTCCATCGCAGCATAGTCAATCCCCCTCAACGTATATAGTACAGACGTGTAAATCGCATAATCCTCTATAAAGCGGCTATAATAGTTCAGGCTGCACAAAAAGGATTGCATGGCGCACAGGGGTCCATCCAGACGCTCCAGATCACCTGCCATTTTCGAGGCGTTGTCGACCATCCGCTGGTAGGTCTGCGGCGCAAATTTCAACCCAAAAGGCATCCGGTTCCACTCGAAAAGTCTAAATGGGGTAATAAAGGCCGAGATCAGGCGGGCTCCATCCGTCATCTTCACCACCCAAAAACCGCTTGCCATGTCGAGTGAGCAATACCACAGTGTAGACTCAAGATCCTCCGGTAGATCGTTGATCAACGGTATCGAGTAAACCATCAGCTGCGTCAGACTGTTAACCAATCGATAATCAATACACAATCGTATGTCCACACCATTCTTCTTGATGATCACGACGATCGGCGATGCCCATGGAGATCTTGAGTGGTTGATCATCTTAGCTGACAGGAGACCCTTGATCTACTCTGCCAATTTCTCTCGGAACTAGATCCGCAGCTTACGTCACTTAAACGCGATCGACCGAGCTCCTCCCACATCAATATCAAACACAACCCCTCGGACTGCTGGTGGGAGTGCATATCCCTTGCCGATCAACAGATGTCGGAACTTCCAGATCCGCTGGCGGAGTCGGTCGATTTCCTCCTGTGTCTGATTGTTGGATCCGCACAACTGTATATCCTCGATCTTCACATCTTCCGTCGTTGCTGGTACTTCGGGTCGTACTGCTAGTTGTCCGTCGACATCTTCGGCGTAGAGATCACTGCCTTCGTGGTAATATAGACATTTGTCGTAATCCTGATCCGAGTCTCAAGTGAGATCCAGATCCGATGTGTCAGGTTGATCTTCAGGAACAGCAGCCGGATCCTCGCCCTTTTTCTGTGGCGTCCTTCTGGTCCAACGGGTCACCCAACTTATAGCTCGTCTCAGATTCTACACCCATCAATGATGATGGGCGTGGCTCATCACCCTTCAACGTCACTACCTTCGGATCTTGGACTTCTTGGACTGGTGGATCTCGACCAGCACCAGTTACACTTGGAGCTTCATCAACCAATACTGTTTCCACCGCCGGATCCTCGACCAGGGTCAGCCTCACCGTGACTATCGTGGGAACTCAATGATCTCCGCGGGTGACCCAGAATTTCTCATGATTCGAAGTCCTCAGGCGTAAGAGAAGCTCCACTGATTTTCCTGGCTGGATCCTCAGGTATTGCTCAAGATTCGCGATCCTGGCCTTGTCGCTATAAAGCTGTCGCCTCCCGCTAAGCTGGATCCGGACTTCGTCGGCCAAGCTGATGGATCCGTGAGCGAGATCCAGGCGGATCCCGGCCGGAACCATGAAGTCCATGCCTACGATAGCTTCTTGTCCAGAAAGATCCCGTACTCAGATATCGAAGAAATACACCAGCGATCCTGCAAGAGTTACCTTGATCCGCGTTCTTCCTTCCGTCCGATACACATTATCGCCGATTCCCACACAATCTTGGATCTGACTTGAGTCGATGTAGCACCCAACCTTACGAGCAAAGGCGGTATCCACGATGGGCATCTCGGCACCAGTATCTAGGAGTAAGATCGCCTTCTCATTGGGACGATCTTGGCTTGACGGAACCAGCATGATGTATCCGCGGGATTCTCCCGGTAGGAGATCCATTGTTGGCGCGGATCCGGACTGTCGATACTCCGCACTCCGACTAGGCTTCGGGATCTCGGTTGTAGTCTCCTGATCCGCAGGCTTGAACCACAGATCCGGATCCTTCTGCTTCCAATAACCTCTGGATTCTCCTGGATGAAGATCCACAGTCATGGTCACATCGGATCTGGCATATTTATCAGCTTGGCGAAGACTGGATATTGCGATGGAATGATTTCCATGCAGATCATGTGTATTATCGGGTAGATCTCGCTGCTTGCTAACTTGATCTACCAATTGCTTATACACAAATGCATAGATGCAATATCTAGAACGCTCGGCTCGTATCGGATCCCTCCCCGACGAGCGTCCTAGTTTAACATCTTTTCGGCAGCTTCCGGCAGCATACCCATGTGTTTGGTTGGATTGAACCATTGGCGGATCTGATCGTAAACCTCCTCCATCGGGCATTTGCCCATGTCATGGAACTCGCCACACAAACAGACAATGTTCAGCCGGATGACCTCGTTTGCCACACTTAGTACAAGTTACGCGTCTCCAACATCCAAGATTTAAATGCTTCTTGGATCCGCAGTGCGAGCATCGGTTACAATTGAATTCGTCACCTTGGAACTTGGATCGGTGCTCCTGGTGGATATGGTTCATGGATCCCGGATCCTGATGTTGCGGATCCGGTATGATCGTCTCGCTTCTCGCCTTCGGAGTGACTTCTAGATTCGCGGCGAGGTAGATCCAGCGATGGCTATCCATCTCAGACTCGGATCCGGGGTCAGCAGCTTGGATTAGGATCGCTCGCACTTGTTTGGTTGCGGCCGACGGTGCAGCATTGGATGCCTTTTGTCGGAACTTGCCGGATCCGAACGCAGTCTTTATCCATCGACGTTTAGCTCGATCCCGCGCACGAAGTACTTCCTCCAGATCGTCCGCATCCGATAATCGTAATAACGTCAGCCGACCCGCCCCATCCGGGTGTTTCAATGAAGTGATCCACATGTTTGCGCCGATCCTTCGTACTACCATCTTTGATCTTGAGTCGCGCACGTAATCCGGCAACGTTCAACCGGTACAGGTAGTTCAGCGGCGATTCATCGGATCTGCGACGCGCATGATAATATTGCCTCGCCACTGATACTCCAAGTCCGCAATTCTGGATCTGGAAACTGCGCAGCAGATCACTCCATTTGTTACGTGTGGATCGGCTCAGTTGGCGGTACAAGTTCTTCGCGGATTTCGCAAGCAGATCGGCGAAGGTCAACCATTTCTCTTCATCTGATGCGTGATCTCGCATGAACGCCGCCTTGACCTTGCTGATCCACGCTCGTGCTCGATCCTCGTCCAGATCCTTTCCTGAGAACTCCTTCAGATCCGAGATCGCTGAGATCCAGACTCGTTGGATCATGGCGGATCCAGTGGTTCCGGATGTAGTAGTGGCTATAGCCGCTTGGGCGGGCGTCGGGAAGTCGATGTCGTCCGGATCATATTCCCAGTTGGATCCGCGATTCGATGATCGGATCGACTCCATATTGACATCCCGCAATCCGGCGTTGTGAGGTTCCGCAACGACTGAATCCGCACCTGCCGCTTGTTGTTCAGCTAAGGACCGATCCATCGCTGCGTTGAAGAACTTTTGGAGCGTTCCAGCCGACCGATTCGAGCTCGAAGTGATTGTGGCTTGATCGGTCGGCGTTGATCTTTTAATCTGACTGCCAGATCTGGCTGGGCATGGACGCCGGATCTTGGATCTCGCGTCCAGCATTGCAGCCGCACCTGAAGGTCCCAGCGACATACGCCGGGGTTCCGATGAGGTGTCGGATCCGTCTTCGGCCGCAGATGCATAGTGCGATGACACCGTCAGGTTGTCCACCACGTCGATCTGGGGTGATGCTACCGGATCCGCTATCTGGGACACCTCGCCAACCAAGATCTTCAGCTTTCCGAAGAGATCTCGGCTTGAGGTTTGTATCACAGTCAGAGCCAGGCCGAACAGATCATCCGTGTCGAATGATCCGGGGATCATGCCGGCTTCCTTCAGCAGCTTCATCAGGACCGTTACTGCGTCGAGCTTGTTGGTTACAATCGCTGGAGCAGTTACTGGATCCTTTGGCTCCATGATCAGCTTATGCTTCCGGATCTTCATCACCGGATCCTGACATACAAAATCGCGTAGCTCCTTCCGGTACGAGTACTTCAGATCCTCGACAGACCATCCGGATCCGTCTTGATCTCCATCCTCTTCATACTCAAGAGCATTCATCTTCGTCCGCAGCGTCTTGGATCTCGGCTTTCCGACTTCGGATCTCAAAATTTGCGGATCATTGGGCATATATAGTGTCGACTTATCCGCATCAATAAATGAATACGGTTCAGCCTTCACCTTTGTTTTTTGTTAGCGGAACTTGATGCGAGTCAGGATCCGCCGAGATCACCATGTCGGAGATCTCTGGAAGGTGAGGTTTCTCTTCCAGATCTGGATCGGGATCCAGATCGTCCTCATTTTCGTCGACGGAGTTCCTCCAGGCACTCTGCCGATACGCGGATCCAGCGTTCAGCGATGTCGTCGTCGATCCAGGATCGACGACATCTCGTTCCCTTGCTCAATCTTCACTTGAACATCTTCTT